GCATCCATGAATTGGAGGAATCGATGGTAAAGGCGCAGAAATCTAATGAACAGGGGTACCTATGTTGAACAAGTATACCCCCAATTATGTAAATTTTTGTGCGAACTCATATCAGTACCAGATTATACTGATGTGTATACAAAGATTATTCGGCAAGTCTGACTGTGCATACATATAGAAACTATGGAGCAATATCTTCTCATATGCATCACTACACAACTGTCAGCGAGTCAGCTTGGAATCAGATTGTATGAATATAGGTATCAATATATCTGAGAGTACATACCAGGAGTAGGCGGAATCAGGACACCCCAGCCAGTTTTCTCGCTGTATCTGCCATACGGTGCCGTTCGCCAGAACACTAGCGCTAAAAGTGTGGGTATGGTCATCGCTATCACACCTATGGACAGCAGTGGCACTAAAAATTCGGGCGAAAAAGGCCCATCATCCCGGTAGGCTTCTGATATATCAGTGATATACTCGTCCAGAGCATGCATTTTAATTATTTCATACGGGATTGTATACCCATACGTTTGTTGCATGTGTTGTACTACCTGTCTGTACTAACATTAAATGTAGTCTTTTCACAGTGTATTCGTTTACATACAGTGATACATGCACAGGTCACGTCAAGTAAACCTTTCGCTGAGTATCTCTCTCTCTATATAATGCTAAATATTTAACAGAGGCAGATAGTCGATTCTCTCAATAATATATACAAACATAGGTTCTCTATTGCTGAGTCCATGTCTCCACGACCCACGTCTCTGTATTTATTTCAATACTATACCAATGACGTCATTAATTGTGACGTGGAAGTAATCAATATATATTTTTTTTAAATATATTCAAAAAACAAGTCATAATTTCGAATCTATTCATATATTTTCTTTTCTAAAATGTCGATCAAGAAGTCCGGACACGTCGTCATAGCGAATTTGTTTCCGACGGCCTTAGCACATGTCGTCATAGAGAAAACTGCTGTCTTAAACCAGCCCAGCTCTTTCCTATACTCGCACATAGAAATATGCCTGTGGAGTGTGGAGTGGGGATTGTATTTTATATATTTAGCGTCACTTTTAGTGATTGGTGTGTGCCTGTGTCATTGCCAGACTGCCTCTCTACTAGAATTCAAATATTCAATCTATTGTATAGAGATATTTAGCAAATTTACTATGGCCATGAATTTATCGAGTGCGTGTTCTCTACACTACTGACTACAGTCTACTGACTCCTGTCCGCATCACTCTACAGTACAACTCTACATATGTAAACTCTTTTTAGTATCTACAGTGTGCTCGTCTGGCTAAATATAAATACATTCCCGGCTTCCCGTCACCGTGGGCGTGGTGCCGTGAAGCCGTGCCGTGGGGCGTGGGCCGCGGCATGTACCAAACTCCACAGTACCAGTGTGGCTGTGTGCCGTGTGCCGTGTGGGCCTGTGGTACAGTGACCAGACTGCTAAATATTTTCAAGTCCACAAAGTTTATAAATAAAATTGTATACCCCCAGCCCCAGCCCCCAGCCCCCAGCGCCTGCCACCAGGTCACCAGGCCCAGAAGTGCATTTATTATCATCTTTTACAAAAAATTATAAATAAGTTGCTGGACGGGCGTTGGGCGTTTCATTTCCAAAAAAACAAAAGCAATATGACGTTAGGTCTTTTTGCTTAAAAAATAATAATAATGGAGAGGCTATGGTTGGGGCTGTTGACTCATAGCCTCCTTGTTCTTTTTAGGAGGCTATGGTTGACAAAACCTTAAAAAACCTAAAACCACTCACCCAAACAAAAACCTAAAACCGAGAGAGAGTGAAGAGTTAAATAAATGAGAATCCCAAAGGCCAAATACGATGATATATGTTTTTTTGGTCATAAAGAGTAACTTTTGCACACGTTTGGACTTTTAGGCGCTTTTGTAGCTTTTTTTATGTGACAATTTTTTTTAATGACCGAATTCAATATTTGTACTTACTTATGTAAGGAGTGTACCCATATTCGATCGTATCGACGTCAACCTGAGAAGCAAGAGCCTTGTATACATACTGTAAATAGCTATTTTTGTATCCAATTACCACTGAGTTTCTTATGCTATACAAGCGCTTCAAATACTATTGCTTTTTGTACCCTTTGAGAGCCGCTTGAGCGCTACTTCCAGAAGCTACGTACAGGGCGCAGAAACCGCAATCATATTTTGTCCCACTTTAGAAATATACATGACCCACAGATGTGAATATACGGGCTTTGGTATATTAAGAGCAAGCCACGTAACTGGTCTTGGTGCAAGTTAATACCAAAGCAGCTGAGTGTGGTGGGAACCAGAGAAACATAGTACATAACATATAGTTATATATATATATAAATATATATATATACACATACTTACATACATACATACATACATACATATATATAT